TGGATGGATGGATGGATGGATGAATGATGGATGGACGGACTTATGGATGGATAGATGGATGGATGGATGGATGAATGATGGATGGACAGACTTATGGATGGATGGATGGATGGATAGATGGATGGATGGATGGATAGATAGATGGATGGATGGATGGATGAAAGGACCATGAGTTTTGTCATGTACTTGGACCCCCCACCATCACCACACTCTCTCTCTCTCTTCATCACATTCATTAACCAACAACTCATGTGAGATCAGTGAAAGATGTGCAACTGTACAATCACATAGAGGATAAAGTCTGTCAGATATCTCACCCTGGACTCTAATCGTGACTTCAATTCTAATTATAAAAAGTGATGATTGTGTTTTTCCGTATAATATAATTTGAAGACCGTGTCCTTCACACTGACAGAGAACTGAGTTTCATGGTGGTGCCTGATGTGAAAACAACCTGCCGTGTTTATAATGTGAACAAAGCTCAAAACACAAGGGTTCTCACAGGAACATATTTCAAACCTAAAATTAACAATGTGGGGTCAAGAAAAGGACATAAAAGTTGTGAAACATTAATACAAAAGTCTTATTTTAGCTTAATCTTAAAAGCAGTATATTTTTCAGAAACTAGATTAGTTACATTCTATTTTGATAAATATGTCAAATTGTTAATAGCTAGGTAAGCATGTAATGGCTGGCCAGTTACTTTTAGCCATTTCATGTTTATAGAAAGTAAATTGTTCAGGTAGTATCCAGCTGTAGAGAATTTAAGAGAGTGTCTAGAAGCTACTTATTTAGCTCCTAAATGTTGTTTCCATTAACACCATTTTAGGACAATAGGCTCCATTCTGGAAGGATTATGTGATCTTCAGAGGGCCTAATAAAATGTCTGTATACTTTTGATTAACTACATTAGCATTAAAATAACAAAAATATTAATCCCATTCTTCTTTATACATCATAACCATAACCAGTAATCATAACATAATATATATTTATAATATATAAACATTTTTATTAGTCTAAAAAAGTTAAATTTGGTCCTCTGGACATTCAAAAAACAAAACAAAGCAAAACAACAAAAAATATGTAGAAATGTTTCATCTTTCATCCGAGAGACTTCCTTAGTCTAAGGTGCTGTATTCAGTTCAGTCTCTTAAATAGCACCTTCTCAGAGTGGATCAACCAGTTTTGCTGCTGACAACCAAAACCAGCTTCTCATATGGTCAAGAAGGACCATCAGCCTAACGATGGATCATTAGCACACTGATGGCTGTTTACTATTCACAGGGGTCTGAGTGATACTAGCAATCACAGCATTGTAAGAGGGGGACAGTTGAACCTGGAGGCCTCCACCCCTGTTTAATGATGGACAATTTCTTTTCACAAAGATGGCCTCCTTTATTCCTCTCTCAAACCATCGTTCCTCTCTGTCCAGGATGTGAACATCTTCATCCCTGAAAGAGTGACCGCTGGCCTGGAGATGAGTGTAGACCGCAGAGTCCTGGCCTGATGATGTTGATCTTCTGTGCTTGGCCATCCTTTTGGCCAGTGGCTGTTTAGTTTCCCCGATGTAAGACTGATCACAGCCCTCCTGACACTGAACAGCATACACAACATTACTCTGTTTGTGCCAGGGGACTGGATCTTTGGGATGAACCAGTCTTTAATGTATTTTGGGGTTTAAAAGCCACTGGGACGTTATGTTTAGAAAATAAACGTCTCAGTTTCTCTGATACTCCCTCAACATACGGAATGACCACTGGTCTGGGTTCCTCCTTTTCACCTGATGGCTGACTGGAGTCAGTTTTATTTTTTAATGTCCAGAGGACCAGATTTAACTTTTTTAGATTTTCTACCTGGATTATTGAGCATGCATCAGGACATTTTTATTAGTGTTAATAGTAATACATAAGTACATACAATTTTTGTCAGCAAGTAATGCTGACTGTAAATATAGGAAACTGTGGTCACACTTCAAAGTGCCTTCAAAAGTTCTGCTGGTACTTCCCAATGGCAAATCCGAACAGTCAGATTTGTGGTCATTCCGCAGGGCCGTGCTTGTAGCCTTTCCCAATCTCGAATCCTTCATGCCAGCAAGTTCAAGAAGCCACAAGTGGCCTGCGATTCTCAGAAATTGCATCCAACTTACAAAGCATCTGCGTCTGGGTGCTCGAAGCACTGCACATTCCTTCACACATGGCAGGCAGCTTCAAAATTGCCAGATCTGCTGCCGTGCCGATGTCTTCCGTATTTGTCAATAAGCCAGAAACCCACTGATTCCAAAAACCAGAAATCCCGCTATCATAATTCCAATTATGTACGCGTCTTCTACATTCTCAACGGATAATACGGACAGACACACCATCTTTCTCTGGCCCCAGGAATCCATGGTGTATCCCGAAGCAAATGTCCCTTCAGGGCATGAGGGCTCTCCTTCACTCTGTCTTCTCATTGAGAAAATTGTATTAATTGCGTTGAGAGATCAGCTGACCAAATCCATGATTTACAATTCAGAAAATATGTAGAGAGAGGCTCTGAAAAAGATTTACAGGACAAGAAAGCAAAAAGCATGAGGGAGGCAGGAGCAGGTGAAGCGACCGTCTTCGTCGAGAGCAAGCAGGAAGTGCTGAAGCTGTTTTTTTTTTCACTTTTATTATCTCTCACATAAAGTTTTAATAGTATGAAGCTAAAATGGCAAGCCTAAAATTCCTATAACTCATTAGCTTTTTGTTTTCTGCACTCATTGTTCTGTAAAGACAACCTCTCATCTTTGTCAAAACAATGGGGCTCTTGTGATGACAGTTGAATGGAAAATGCCAAAACAAGAGTTTTTTAATGGAATGTGTTAAACGTATCACAGATATTTGGATAATGATTTTACTCTTGCAGATCGGTTAAAAGGATAATAATTGCTTTTGAACAAATAAAGTTAAAAAAAGTGTCTTTATTTGAGCTCAAATAAAAAATAGACAATTTAGAACAAGCTAAATAGAATCTTGGACAATGATAAAATTAAAACAAACTGATACTAACCCCTATGACAAAGACCTTGTTTACAAGAAAAAGGAAGCTGATGAGACTGAACTACAGAGGGCTGAGCACCAATGATGTCATTGGCTGTGCTGGTCCGTACTTTCTCCCTCCTACTACCCCCACCCCCTTTCCCTCTCGCCTCTTGCCTCTCTGTGTCTCTCATCACAGGGGAAGCCTGGGAGTGGCAGGAAGGAGGAGAACTAGAGGACAAAGAGGACGACAGAGGGGGAAGCAGCTCATTGAGAATTTCCCTAAATATTACGCCACATCTCTGCCTTTACGACAGCAGGTACGTCTTATGTTTTGTGGGTTCAGGCATCACTGCTAGAATCTCAGATCCAGGCAGGAACAGAAAGAGGGAGAAAAACAAACATTATAGAGCCAGTTGTTGTCTTGGTTCAGCTCACGCATCAGCAATGCAAATAGTGTTTACCATCTTTCAAGAGTCAGGATGGATGTTGCGTTGCTTTGCAATGTTATCCCAACACGCTGTTTGTGTTCCTCTACCAATGAAAAACAGACAACAAGAAAGAAATATATAACAAAAATTAAGGTTTTTACATTCATTTAGGTAAAAAAAAACACATTTATTGTGAATAGACATGCATTAGCTGGACTGTTGCGTAGGTCCAGACCAGATCACATGTGCGCATGTAAATGTTTTTTAATCCAAGAGTTTAACCCATTTCCTTACAAATTGTACTTTTTAAAAAATATTATTTCATCATACCTTTAGATAGGCCACTCACTAATGCCAGAGAGAATAGGAAAAACAAACGGCTGAACATGTGGTTAACCACTGTAGACCAAAAGAGCAAAGAAGCCATTTGGAAAATGACTTGATTGGATTAAATTGGCTTAAGAGCAGCCTCAGTAACACTGGTATAATGATGGATGCTTCAAGTGTGTATCAGCAAATGTGTGTGTTTAATGGAAAGAGCAAATCAAGCCAGTGCTGCAGTACTTTGGCAAGCAAGCAGCCCTTTGAAATTGGATTGAAGTTTGTAATTTCACAAATTGTTTTACGAGATGAAACAAATGAAGAAGCAGATGAAGTTCAAGGCCACTTTTTATCTGATATGATTGTCTGTTTTATAAATCATTGAACTGATCCATGGACTGTGGACGGTCAATTCATTTTCTGTACCATTCGTTTTATTGTGCACTCACTGCACTGGTTACCGGTTCACTTTCAAATTCAGTTCAAAATACTCATGTATGTCTACAAATCACTGAACAGTTTCCCCCCCCCCCCCCCCCCCATCTCTCTGATCTGCTACAACCGTATGTTCCACCACTTTCCCTGAGGTCAGCGGACCAGTTGCACCTCACAGTTCCAGGAACTCGTCTTAAGCACAGAGGTGACAGGGCCTTCTCTATAGCAGGACCAAGACTCTGGAACGAGTTACCTCTGCTTGTCAGACAGGCCCCCTCCTTCTCGGTTTTCAAGTCCCGTTTAAAAACCCACTAGTATTCGGTAGCTTTCAACACCAGATGATCTGTGTTTTGAACCTGTATGCTCCACACTGGTTTGTCATCATTATCTGCATCGTTTTTATGTCTATATTCTGATTTACTTAATTTTATATTTTGCTTTGTGTGTTACCTGTTGTTCTGTCTGTACAGCACTTTGGTTGGCCTTGTCACTGTTTTAAGTGCTCTATAAATAAAATGGTATGGTATGGTATGGTATGGTATTGTTTTCGCTGACCAGAAGGTGTGTGTCTATATCTGCTAGCATGGCTGAAGGCTCGGTGTCCACAGCAGAGGTGGAGAGCTCCTTCCAGAAGTTTGCCATCCATGGAGACACCAAAGCTACGGGGAAGGAGATGAATGGCAAAAACTTTGCAAAGCTTTGCAAAGACTGCCTCATCATCGACGGCAAGAACGTCACCACCACTGATGTTGATATAGTTTTCAGCAAAGTCAAGTAAGGTCAAAGTCAGTTCATGAACTTTTCACAACCAATATATTTATAGTTTGGTCAAAAGCAGCAACTGTAAAAAGTTCAATATTTGTGCTTTGTATGTTTACTAATAATTAGGGATGCATGATATTGGATTTTTGGCCAATATCCAATATATTAAAACTTATTTGGCAGATAACCGATACCGATATTTTACATATGTTCCTTTGTCAGAACATAACCCTCTTATTTAGGCTTATTTGCTACAAAAATTGTGCAACAGCTGTAAGAGCTGGTGACATATATTCAGTTACAGCCATATGATATGCATAGCACTTTGACTTATATTAAATGAAAAGTGTTAAATGTTATTTATTAGCATTAGTCACCTGCGATGCTGTCTCACTTGTGGAGGCTTGTTCCAGGTTCCTAGCTACAGTGTGGAATCCTCTGCACTCCTGTACATAAAGAACACCCTTTTTAAGTTCAAAGTTTTTGTCTATCCATTGTTCCATAAGACTAATCATGCTGACGGGGCTAACACGACGTCCAAATATCTGTGGTAAAACTCACCCAACAAGTCGTGCTATCGGCTATTAGCTTCTCAATGACGTCGAAAATGACAGCTTGTAACTTGGGTAACGTTACGTCAGAAAAATGTCTCTGACTAAGGATGATGTAGCGAGGCTCAACATAGTCTATAAATCTTCGGAATCCAACATCCTCACCAACAAAAAATAAAACTTCCACACTGCCAACATTTTGAATTTTCCTCTCCGCCGTGAGATCGGGTAGGCGCACGTGACATCATCATGTTGTGCTGCGGCTGCAAGCAAAAACAGTGCTTTTTATATCGGCAAGTTATTTTAATGGAATGGCCGATGTCCAAAATTGAACTTTAGGGCTAATACCGGCCGATACCATGCCGATAATATTGTGCATCCCTAATAATAGTGACATGTTCTAGCATCCACAATGGAATGGGACATCTGTCTACGTTTATTAAATGAAACCCTGTGTATTTCTTTAGGGCAAAGTCTGCTCGTGTGATTACATTTGAGCAGTTCAACCAGGCCCTGACTGAGTTGGCTTTGAAGCGTTTTAAAGGGAAGAGCAAAGAGGAGGCACTTCAGCAGATCTATGGGCTCCTTGTTGGGAAGGAACCTGCCAATGCCGGCATCACCGTGAGTTAAAGTCACAATAGTATCACTCCTACTGCCTTTATATCCACAGCATCTAAAAACTCCACTTGTCTGTCACGGCACATGAACGGTTTTTGATTGGTTTGCTTTAGTAAAATTATATTTACAGCTACAAAGCAATTAAAAACATGTTTGTAATATGGTCAAAAGTGTTATGTTATGATGAGGAAGCCAACAAACATTTTCACGTTCATAATGTTTTCACTGCATTCCCTTTCATTTTCATATATTTTTTAGTTAAGCATTTTTTTTCTGTATGTACTAAATACTGCTCCACTCATGCTCCGCAAACTGAAAAGTGAATATGCTTGGAATAACTGTGATGCATTTGCCATTGATTTTCTATATGAAGGGATCCTGAACAAAATATATATATATTTTTTCATTAAGCCTTTATTTATCCAGGTAGTCTCATTGAGCCACGAGAACTCATTTTCAAGAGAGACCTGTTTAGGGAGCACATGGTGGGGGTTAAGGGCCTTGCTCATGGGCCCAGAGTGGGGCGAATGAGGGTGGGGACAAGTGTGGGTGTTTCACCGACCCCACCCACAATTTTGATGTTGTCGGGGCCGGGGCGTGAACCGCGATCTTCGGATCACAGGGCCACCTCTCTAACCTCTGCGCCACCACTCCCCATCCCTATCCCTTCAGGATATGAAGGGATCCTGAACAAAATATCAAGAAGAATAGAAAGTTTGCCAGATTTCAGACAACCTATGCACATATTTGCTTGCTTATAAATAAATCCGTTTGGCTCTCACATATTCTGGAATTTGTGGGCCCTGGTGTTGTTCATAGATAAACCAGTAGATGGAACCACTCACATTTTTGTTACCCTACATGTCAGTCATCATTCTATCAACGTGTGTGTCTGCTTTCAAAGAGAATTCACTCTGAACTTAACTTCCCCTTTGGTTTTAGAAAGCGGCGAAGGCAGCAGCGGTGGACAGGCTGACTGATACAACCAAGTACACCGGTTCACACAAGGAGCGCTTTGATGAGTCGGGCAAAGGCAAAGGAAAGTCAGGGCGTCAGGACATCCCAGACACCAGTGGATTTGTGTCAGCTTATAAGGGTAGTGGCACTTATGATGACAAAGTAAAAAATGCATAGCCAGAATTATGCCAACCAATGTACTAACAATTTTTCAGAGTAAAGAAAAGTCTAGAGCATCAATTTGATGGTTTATAGCATGTATATAACAAGTTGTCTGTTACTTCATAGGGACAAAATAAATGCCATTTGCTTTCTAGTGTAACTAACTTTTGCTCTATTATCATTCTGATATGTTAACATGTGCCTTGGATGCAGCCTCATGTGCAAATGTTCTGATTTATTGCACTGATATGCTAAGTTATAGTAAAAAGAGAAGTAGGTTTCATGAAGTGACGCCGCAACACTTTTACCTGCTATGCTAAGCTTTAGGTGGAAAACCACAGCTTGTTACTCTACTCACAGAATTAAATACAGATATGTTAGATTTATATTTTATTTTAATTAAGCAAGCAACTGAAAACTTTAAATGACACTTTAATGATGAAATGACAATAAATTCCACAGAGTATTATTTCATTCTGTGTTGGTTCAGTGTGTCTTCCTTTTTATTTTGATATAAAACTTTTGGTCATGTGATGTATCATTTCATGTTGTTTGATTTTATTTGCAAGCTAACTGAATAAACAATGTTAATATTCTCTCTGAGTAATAGTTTGTTGTGAATGTTCCTAAAATGCATTTTGAAATAAGTTTAACTGGATCTTATAAACTCTTCCATCCTGTCATCATTTCAGTGAGAAACATCTTTAAATAGTGATGCCACAGTTAGCGTCTCCTTGCTGTCCTTCAGTGCAGTCCTTTTTAGCTACTGGTTGGATCTGTTAATTTTAGCCACTTCCTCAATGTGCTGGTGGTAGATGCTCTGCAAGAGCTTTATTTTTACCATGCATAACCCTAACCCTAACCCTAACTATACATGATAAGACACTTCTTTCCTTGAATAGCTTCTGTTGCTTCCTTTGTCCAGGGTACTATACCAAAGGGGTATGTATGGACTGGAAGTTCAAAAAACATTCAATACAAAAACAACAGGACTGTATTTATAACAGAAGACGTTTTGCTCTTCATCCGAGGAGTTTTCTCAATTCAATGAGCAGTAAGTGAGAGATTCAGGTTATAAAGCTGAGTGAGATAAGACACACACACACACACACACATGTAGATTTGACAAGTCACACCTCAACACCTTTACAGTAGGGGTTTCTTAAGGTCTTTGTTACTCTAATTCATAGATGAGACCCCTCTGTTTCCATAAAGAGTGAAAACCATCTGGGAATCTGTCTTAAAGTTGCATTATAGGTTTTTGAAAGTGGAAATCTGAGGCCCCCTTCTCTGTTAAGAGATGGCTTTTCCCTTTTTACATAAATTACTTCCTTCCCTCCCCTCTCAAACCATCTGTGTTCTCGGTCCAAAATGTGCAGTGTCCCTTATCTGTGAGGTGGAAGTGAACAGCTGAATCTTGTCCAGAGGAGGTGGCTCTCCTGTGTTGAGTCATGTGTCTGTAAAGAGGCTCTTTATTTTCCCCAATGTAGAGGTCTGGACAGTCCTCGCTGCATTGGACTGCATACACTACACCACTCTGTTTGTGTATGGGTTGTCGTGGATAGAATACCACGTCGTGTTCAAAACGGCGGAGGCGTCGCCCTTCGTATAAAAGATTTATTTGACACAACATGGGTTACAGATATTCAGAGACAAACAATTACATTAATAAGATATATGCATATAAATGGAGCATTAAGAACGAACCGCCTCGTGTGCGCCTCCCAGAAAATGCTCGGTGGGCGTGCGTCATTTCCGGCCTTTTATCCCCGTTTGAGAAGGCTAGCTTCCTGATTGGTTCAGCTTCTGTCGCTATGGTTACGACTTAGCCCGCCCCCTCAAGGACGTTGACGTCTATATTTCAGATAAGTTTTGGTACACCGAAATCGGCTTTTGTTTAAAGTTTAACTTGCTATTATACTTTAGGGATATAAAATGATTTGTGTCTAAATTGTTTATACGTAATAATTAATAACTATTAATTATTACCTACCTCCTGGGTGTTAATTCAATATCTGTTGGAGGCCTGGTGATTGTTTTTAAGGCAGATTCATCTTAGTTTCTGTGTCTGCGTTTAAACTGTTAACACTGTTTGTTTAACGTGATTATACCTTTGTGATAACACTGATTTGAAATAGTTGTTTATTTCTAGGAATAATTATATTATCTAACTTATGTTCGTTTTTATTTGGATCATGGTTATACTCTTAATTTGATTTTACTTAGTCAACCTATATTGTCTAAATTAAAGAGCTGTGTTCTAGCTTTATTTATGTTAATCAGTCTGCTCTCTGGCCTGATTTGATTGCTTGTAATTTATCAAATGTGAACTTGTAAAATTATCTTTAGCTACTATGAGATTATATTTAAAGGTCAACTAGTTAGAATTAGCAAACATTTTCTATAAACATAGTTCAACC